ACGTGAGCAGTTTCGGCATAAAAACCTTTACTATCTTTACATAGGAAAGAAGCAGATGATCTGTTTCTGGGTGTGTGCACATGTGTGCAGATGCCAGCTTTTTACTACAGTAACAGTGCAATTAGCCGCTCCCAGAGTGGGCAGAGCATACGAGTGACAGGAAGAGAGAGCGATCATCCCAGCCTGCAGTACTTGTCACAAAGGTCAGGTTTGGAAAGAGCAACCCTCAGAGAAACCACAAACGTGTGGGACAGCTGCTAGAGGAGCAGTTTGTATTAAAGTTGCTGAAAAGAGGCTTTTAGAAATTTAAGGCTTATTCTCGGTGAACGAATGTCCATGAGGAGGGCTCGTCCATGAGGTAGGCCAGCCCATGCTCCAAACTTTCAGATGGAGCCAATTTGGATTGCGCCCATCCCTCCGGATTTTAACAGGTTCAAAGAGTTAAATGGTTCAGATTAATGGGACAGATTCCCTAGTTTCCCGATGTCACGGAGTCTCCTTAGTTTTTCCAGATCTGCTGGTCTGACTGCAGACTATGGCACTTGTTTCTTCGTGTTTCTTTGATCCGTGCTTGTCACTGCCATACCCTGTCTAGCCCTCCATTGGCCCGGATAAGAGCCAAGTGCAGGGCTGTGCTGAGCTCTGATCACAACCACTTTGGATATTTGAGAAAATAAAGTCTCAAGACCAATGTGATGTACAATAGAAAAATACAGGTATAGCAACATCCTTTGTGCTTAGCAAATTCACTTCTGTTGACCTACTTTGAACATCAAATCACATTGGCAAACTGCAGATTGACCATTCACTCCTTGCCAACCACCGTGAATTTGCCTCAGCAGGACAGAAACCAGTAAGTTTATAATAGATTTGAAGGTATAGATTAACAAAAGAGTGTTTTGCCTGCCTTCCTCTTAATCAAGCGAGCTGTTCCAAGTGCCGGGAAATACAGGAGCTTGTGGTAGTCTGCCCTGATCGTGCAGCTATTTCCCTACACCAAAGTAAATTCAACAAGGACTGTGAGAAAAAGAAAAAAAAGTCTGATAAACACCCCCACAGGAAGATCTGTACATGTGCCACGTGAGTCCTGAGAGCCTTCGCTCCCTCTCATCCCTGTGGCACCAGGCTCCTCTGAGGTGGTGCAGCTGAGAAACTCCTTTCTTTTTTTCTAAACTTTTGCGTATACCAAGGTGGAGAACTCTGACTGCAAGGCTTTTTCACACGGCCAGCTGTGCAAGCATAAACCCAAACGCGCTTGCCCTGCAAACAAGCAACTGCGGTACGTGTGCAAAGAAAGGGCCTCGCTTTAGTAGAGCGTCCATTAGAGCCAAGCGGATTCATACCACTGAAAATTCAGACTTCAGTACACATGAGCACAACTGGGCACAAGCTGTCAGGTGTTTGCCCCTTGGCAGCACACCGAATCGAATCAAAACCCGAACTCCTCTGCCGCTTCCAGCAGACATCGTCACCAGCCCTGTCATAGACATACACGAGAGACCCCCTGGATGTACCAGACCAGGATGATCCAGGGGGATCAGGTCCGCTCCTGCATCTCCCTTGAAAGTTTCCGACTTAAGCGGAAAACTTATCTCAAATAGAAGAGCAGGTTAAAAAAAAAAACAAGTAACAAGTGGAGTCAGGAAGGGAAATTAATACACTAATTAATGAGGAAAAAAACATAAACAGAAAGGAGGAGATTCTTTACAAATTATTTAATAACAAACCAGCTTCTGTGCAGATATTGTATGTGCCAATACAACAACAACAAAAAAATCACAATGCTGACAAGCCCTCATCCCACTATCTGCGGCATTAATAAATGATGAAGCGTTAAAAAACTGGGACACTTTGTGCCTATAACAATATCACATAAGGACAAGGGAATCAAGCTGAAACAAAACAAAGGACATGATGGTGTGTTGCTGGCAAATAATTATATAAATGAAAAACAAAACCTCAGAAACAAACACGGTATGCCCCCTCAGTCATCAAACGGAAGAAAAACAGGACTGCCTCTTTTTCTTCTTAACCGCAATCAGATCCAGATTCAAAAGTCAGCAGTGTGTGATGAAAGTCTTGGGTGCAGTCATTATTCCAGCAGCGTCCAGCCCAAGCTGCTGAGTTAAACAAAGACAGAGGGGAGATGGGATGGAAGTGGAGACTTCAAGTAAAGTTGAGGTAGAGTTTTAGGGAACACCGAAGACACAACCTGAAGGGAAAGCCTTTTAAATCTCTAATTCCTGCTGTGTTTCAACAGCGCGGTCAGATTTCGCAAAGGTTTCGGAGCAGCATCCCTGCTGCTGGCCATCTATGAAGCTTGTGCCACGCAAGTCATCCAAGGGGAATTTCAAGTTGCTCTTCAAATGCCTCTCATCCAAGCTCCCCGGTTTTGTATCACGCGAGCAGCTTAAATGCCAAAGCCTCGTGCTGTAGCAACACGGGAAGGGACTCTTCTTTCTAAGTGCAAGCAAGTCATAAAAGACATAAAAGAAATTAGAAACGAGAAGAGCAGATCAACGCAGGGAGGGATCCTCTTGTTATGTAGGCTGGGCTGAAAAATTGAAGCCTGAGGAGGCTGTATTAGGTAGGCCCTCCGTTTCTTTTATAGAACGTGCATTAAGAGGAGTTCTGCCTTGATCCCTTTAGGAAGTGGGAGAGTTACAACAGTGCTTTTTCCCTGGGAGCATTTCTAAGCTTTCCTCACAGGAAGCTTTCCTTGTGAATTCTCAAGTAGATCAAATGTAAAGGCAAATCCCAAGTCAGAATTAATTGGCACTTTTTTTTTTTTCTTTCTTTCTCCGGGAGAAGGAGGGATATCAAATTCCTTCTGTGTAGATGAACTCACGCCGTTCTTGCAAACTCATATTTGAGGAACCTGTACCTGACTTTGGAAGAACGTGCAAGAACGCAAGCACTAAGCCTGAAGCAAAACACATCTTCCTGGTTTTGCCGCTCCGCTCTGCTATTCAGATGCTTTCCAGTCTGTTGCCCGCAACCCCCATTTACTCCAGAATTTTCCTGCGGCCTCAGCTTCCTTCAGCTTTGTTGTAGTTGTGGGTGAGGTGTCACAGAGCAAGCTGTGCCTGGCGTTAAGCAGTCCCTATACCCCTGCATACTCAGAGCCAGATGATCAACAATGTAACGAACCTCCCTGTTCTAGAAGTCAAGAGTAACACCTCATTTGGAAGCACTTAGCACATTTAGCCCCGAGTTCATCAACACCTCATTCTTATTTTACATTACTTTATGAAAGAAAGTGAAAGTGTTCCTCCCGTGGCTGACCACCATCCCCTCATGCCACGATTCTGCTCTGAAAAAGGGACTTCTTGTAAGAACGGAGGGGGGGGAAGGGGGAAGGAAAGAAAAAAAAAAAATAAAAAGCATTGCAGCACATCCACTGTGTAAGTACCAGCACTTACTTATCCAGACAGGTATTCACTTCTCATCTGCCATCCAGCAGCTATCTATGCATATAGCAAGCTTCATCTGAGTCACACAGTAATAATCACTGCTTATATACAAGATCCCTTGTGTACTGTATATTAATGTCTGGCTGGTAATTTAATGGCACCTCTAGGCATAAACAAAAGTTTATTAAAACAGTAAGTAAAATGTTCCCGAAGACTGGCCTGCATTTCTAATTTTCTACTCGGCATTCCAAAATACAGAGCAGCCTTGTTAAGCAAAGAAAAGGCTACTGAGTTAACACCGAGTAGCAGCATTTTGCACAAGTTAGACGCAGCATGGCCCAGAGCAATAGCGTACTTCATTTATATTAACAACCCTTTCTTTCCTTATCATCTTAAACAACCACCACCAAACAAAAACTTGGATTACTAGAAAACATGCGCAATGCAAGAAAGAAGCAGCAAGTCAATTACTGCACAGAACCCAGGCACTTGGCAGTCCTTGGCCAGGCGGCTGAGGCCTGGAGTCCCCGCCAGCATCTGGCAGTGCCCTCTGTAGTTAAGAGCAGGCTGTGCTTGGAGCGTGGTATCTGAACACACTGCAGAGCCTTCTGCACGCACACGTCCTCTTTCACATGAGATGCGCCTGCCACAAATTTCGTTGTTTCAAAGACCAGAAAGTTTTGGGCTTTGTTAATGATGAAAGCTTGAGCTCAATAAAAGGCACATATCACACGCTTCAGCTTTACTGCACGATGACGTGCTAATCTGAAACTGCTCATGCTAAGGGCTACAGCACTGCTCTGTTCCCAGATGCTGACACGTCCCATTCCCACACCAAAACACCACGCACTGGTGCTCCATCTCCCTGAAAGCTTCGCTTTCTACAGCAAGGAATCTCAAACACTCAAACAACACAGAAGGCAGCCAGATGTGCTCCCATGCCCTTCACCTACAGGAGCAGGGCACATACAGATGTTGCCAAGTCATTGCTTAGAACCCTGAAGCATTTGGCATAACCTAGATCACTCGCCTGCTTCTCAAACCAAGTCACACAGGCATCTGAGAAGTTTCTTGCAAACAGCACCAAAGTAAGAGAGACACTGGAGGTATTGCAGAGGAAAATCTCCTATATAAGTCATTTAACGCCTGTGTAGTATAGAAACCTGCTTTTTTGTTGTTGATGGTGCACTCCTCTGCATTGAGCATGAACCCGCTTTTTATCTTTACAACACAATATCCTCAGTCTTGAGAAATCATAATGAAAACATTTGCTACTGCCCCACTAGCTATAACCTACACAGCTTGGCATCCCAGTTTATTTGTAATGCTTTAACTCGTAACAAATAGATTCTTGCACCATTCACTATCTTCTTAAAGATTAGATGTCGAAGCACACAACACTATGTGTAGCAACATAAGGCACAGACACGTACCTGGTTTCTTCTCTTTGTCATAAACCGCTGGCGCCTCTCGTGCAAAAGGAGGCAGAAGGCCAGATGCCAGCCATCATCATAGCCCAGGTGCATGTTCTCCGGTATTTCACACTTCCCATTAAAGACCAGGCAATATATTAATCTTCATTAAAACGGCTGGCTGATATTGACCTAAGATAAAACAACACCACAAAACGTTCAGGCACGATGGAGTACTCGTACGAACAGGAGGATCTAGCCCAGAAAAGAACGCAAGGCAAATTCATGCTGCTGTTAGTGGCATCAGACTCGCCACGGCAGCACGTCCCCCAAATCCTCAAAGAGATAAAACAGCCTTCTGTGCAGGAGCAGAATTGGCATTCAAACTGTTCCTTCGTGAAGGATATTGAGCTCTACTTTCTAGGTCTTGTATCTCCTACAGAGGAGGACGGCTGCTTAGGACCCTCACCCTTCAAGGGGAGTCTTCCTGACCGCTTTAGTCTCCGTAGTGTGATTTAATGCCACAGCTTCACGCTACGCTTGGATGCATTTTTAAGGTGCTGTGGCTTACCCTAACTTAGAAGACCTATGACCTTAAATCGAGTGCGACAGCCTCATATGAATAGCAGATAAACAAACCGTACCGTGGCAGCAACCCACTGGCTGCTTCTTTTCTGTTCCTGGAGTGAAGAAGAACGATGTTGGTCAGAGCCTGGAAGCTTTGCATATTCATACTTACCACAGTTGTTAAATGTTTGAAAATTCAGGTAATGAGCAGGCAATACTCCTGCTGCCTTTGTACTGCTTGGGGGTTTGCTATTCTCATAATATCTCTACAGAAACCATTCTATCAAGTCAGGGTTTTTTTTCCCCTCAAATTGAATTAACACTTGTACATTGAAGTTTTCAACATCACCCATAAGATTTTTCTACTTGTCAAAAGAATCTGCACGGTCTCTAACCATGAATAAAAATGATTTTAGATATCATCTTCATTTCGAGTTTTACTTCTTGGGATTAATTTAATTGATTGTGCTGGTGGCTTGTTAAGCAGCTGCTGAATAAACAGACCGTTTGTCTTTCTGTATAAACATATCCTATCCATGATTTTTCTTCTATGTATCTATTGAACTTTTTTTCTGCATGCACCCACAAGAAAAAGACGTTCGTGTTTTATCCTTTCCCGACATAACTCTGAGTAGCCCCATAAATCTCTCCTTCAATACAATTCTCATTTTATGCTGTGCAGACCTAATCTCGATTTGTGTCTATTAAAACCACATTAACCTTGTTTTATGGCTGTATAACAGATCAGTCTAACCTGAGAACTTCAGATGAAATCAAAGGAGGTGGATTTCGCTGGATTTTAAACACGTTTTTCCTTTTCCCACATGATTCTAATGAAGAAAATTGCCAACATGAATAATATTCATTTAAAAACCAACAAACCCATGGTTGCAAATAATTCTTTCTATACGCTTTTCTTTCTTGCAAGGGTTATTTAGTTTCTTTAAAATCTTTAGACATCCAGATTTTCTTAGTGATACACATTATGCAAGCAATAACTCACGGACTTAAGTGAGATGAGAAAAGGAGAAGTGATTGGAGACTGCAGCACTGAAGATAAAGCGGGCAAGAAAAAGTCACTGCTGTAATAAGACACAGGAAACGCAGACCCATAAAATCAGTTATCAATAACATTTTAATGCTCAGGTAAGCGCCATCCGTAGCAGTAAACAATTGCGATGCAAATGAAAAAGTAATAAACAGCACATAGCTTTGTTAGAACACTGGGAGTCTACAACAACAAGACCTACGGTACCCACGGCCTCCGCTTTTTCCTCTACGCTTTCCCTCTCTGACCAGTCCATTACATCAGATTTCTGTCACAACCTATACAAGTACCAACAGCAGGGGGTGTCAGCAGAGGTCAAGGTAAGAAGGCTCCTGGACTGGTTCATTCGGAGGCCAACAGAAGACCGTGGAAAGAGAAGAATAAGCTTTATTTCACAGGAAACGTTTGGCCACAGGCAGCCACCACAAGCTTGAACCTAACCGATACTCCCTTTTTCCCTCGTCTCTTGACTCACCATTGCTTCTAAAAACCAAGGTGTGCCACAGCAGCCATACAGCTGTGTACCTGCCTAAACACGTGCAGGTGACCAGACTTGAACGTTCCTAAGTGAGCTTGGACTCTGGTCCTCAGAAGGGCTGCAGGGCAGGATAGCCACACATTCTACTTCTCTGCTGCCCAGTGACACGCCAGGTTTGGAAGACAAACCGAAGGTCTCCTTTTAAACGATATATGGCTGAAAATCCTACTTAGAGTAAATAGAATTTGACATTAGTTAATTTGTCACTAAACTGCTAAAAATTCAGATAAACAACTAAGATGAGACGGTAACCCCACCATTGGCGCAGCTTGCTGAAGGCAGCTGTTCATCTAATAGCACACAAACTTCTCTGATTTTCTCATATCGGTTTATAATTTGGGGGCTATCTTGGGATATCCTATTTTTACTCTTAACGAAGGAACGTACGAATTCTAATCAGTTTGGAAATCTCCAGAGTCCGAAGGGAATTTGCATTTCTGCATAAAGAATGGCTGGATACAGAGGAATAAGATGGGGACGGTTTGGATTTTACGGAAACAGGCAGGATACGCCGTGGTCAGTTGCACCACAGGATTTAGCCCACTTACCTTTTCCTCCTCTTCAGGAACAAGGCCAGTCATAATTAGACGTTATAATGAGCAAGTGAGCAAGATGTTTGAATTCACAGCAGAGCAGTGGACTTGTTTTTCCTCACCTTCAGTGGCATATTTCTGCCCTCCTTCTTCATCATTTAGCTGTTTTGTAGTTTGTGTCAAACGAGCCTCGTTCTCCTCATTACAGACAAAGATCTTTGCTTGTCAAAGTGCTGAGAGAGCTAATTCTCATGGTTCTCACTTGTTACAGAGGCCTCCTGCCAAAGAAGCCATTTGGCTTAAAACACAGCAAACAGCCTCTCCTCCTCTCTCCCACAGCTCACTTCAAGAAGCCTGTTTTCATAAACACTGCATCTTGTCGGTGCTGAACAGCGCAACTTGAAGTTGCCATATCAAATACACTTATGGAAGGCAGCAACAAAGAGATACCTCGACAGACTAATGATGACCTCCCACAAGCAAGGCGCTTAGGAGGCTCACTCACTTCCCTGCTTTGCATCTTAAAAAGTAGCAGCTGAGTGATGCACTTGCCAGGCATACCTGTCCTGTTCGTCACAATGGAAATAAAAAATCAGATGCCATTGGCAGTACAAACGGAGATGTCATCGACAAACTGCGAACCAGGCAGCTTGGGGACAAATACAACTTACAGGCAGCTAGGAAATAGCCTCTTAACAAGTCCAAGTGAGCAAGGGAGCTATTCAGAAATAACTAATGCCTATTTTGTAGGTCTCTACAATTCTTAGAGCAAGCAGAGGGGGCAGCAAATGCCTCGTGGCAGTACCACAGAAGTTCACAGGCATGTTTTCTTGCAGCGAGGTCATCAGGATCATCACTGCTCAGCCCAAACGCTAGGAAAAGTGAAGATCCCTCATTGAATTTGATCTGTTCTTACAAGCCCTAAATCTGAGCACAAAGCCCCAGTAGGAAAAGTGAGGAGTGAAGTGTAGGCTCTGTTCAAGTTAACAGGTAAAAAAAAGCCATGAAGTCCTGACCTTGAGGAAATCCCACTAACATCTCTGGAAGTAGCAAAGCCCAACACATCTCTGCAGAAGAACCTCTGTGTTTGAATGAGGGAATATCCCATGGGTACACACCCCCACTGAACGAACAACTGATGGTTCCTTCTGTCCAGGCAAAAATGCGCTGTTGGACGAAACTGACGCTGACACCCCTTGGGCTCCTCCACAGCCAGGGAATGAGCAAAGACATTCAAAACGGATGCAAATCAGGCTTTTGCTCAGAGATCAGGATTCATGCTTAAAAAAGGAAGACAGTAAGGATCACCCTAAACAGCAAACAGCCACCCTGCATTAACAAGGAACAAAACAAGCAGAATGATGCTGAACCAAGCCATGATTTAAAACATCTGTGTTCCCGGTACCCAAGGCATTTTTAATAACAAAAAGTATATCTGGAAGCCAACATTAGGAAGATTTTAGTAGGTGTCTGTTAACAAACCAAACTCCAACGCTTTCTTTGGAGCTGATTACAGGGATATGCCCTTGCGGCTTCTCACTGGGGTCTTCCAAAAGTCCAAGCTTTGGGTTTTTTTTTGTTTTTTTTTGTTTTTTTTTAAGTTATTATTATTATTATTATTATTATTTAATTTTCCCTGCCTAGATTTCCCTCTACCTTACAAAGCAGCATAGACCACTACTTACTCATTGCTTCACTTTATTAAGATGCAGTTCATGTTTTCACCTGTGTTGTATGGTTTGCAACCATAAAATATGGATCTAAGATCCAAAAGATATGAGAGCGTAAGGAGTCTTTCAGACGCGCATGCTTTTGGAGAAAAACACACCGGGCGTGCGAGCAGAGCCGCACTGTTGTCTGTGACCTACAATAGCTTCTCATATAACAAATTGTTTCAGGTGTTATGTTAGAATGAGTAGAGAGCTCTTTCAGCATTTTCATCGCGTTCGGCTAAAATCCCAGGTCTGACAGTGTATCTTGACAAGCGAGTCCACATGAAATATGTTGCTAATTATTTATACACCTCTTCAAAGGCTCGGCGCTTCTACTTGCACTTCTTGCTACTCCTACCTACCCAGGCCCTACAGCTGTTTTTTCCATCACTGAACTGAAACCCCTTAGAGTAACAAGTCCATAATGGAGGTTCATAAACTCAGCAGTGATTAACAGCATGGGTTAATCAAATGAGTGTAGAACAGGCTTTCCCCCCTTTTCTTTAAAGAGAACTGGCCCCAAGTGTTTTTTCGCTTATTACCACACAGAAATAATTTTGCAATTAACTTTTACTTACTGGTGTCACAGCAGGCTCTGCAGAGCTCCGGCAGAAGCAAGAACCACTGTGCTTGGCAGCCCCTGGGCACGCAGGAGCCATCTCCCTGCAGAGGTGACCCTACAGCACAGCTGTGGGAGTTCAGTGATGGCCAGGCATCGCTGGGCATTACTTGGTTCCTTATGAGAATCAGCAGTGCCAGGCTTGCCCACAGCCAAACCTGCTATGACAAACCTCCAGTGAGCTCTGCTCAGCAGTTGTGACTGAGTTCAGCTACTTAGGAGAAGTGCCCTGCTACCTCTATGGCAGACACCCCGAACTCTCAAAAGCTTGGAGCCAGGAAGACATTGCAGCCATAAAACTGTCTTTTAATGGCTTTCCTAAACCCTGAGTATACCTTGCTTGTCTGCCGCTAACCACGGCACTTCTGTTGAAAGCTTTCTGCACAGGGATGTTGAAACAAATCAGCCTGAAATTGCAAAGCAATTCAGTTTTGATGAAGAAAAAAAGAGCAGAAAATATGAGTTTAGTTAAGAGCAGGGATACACAATACTTAACTTCTGAGCCAGAAATGAAATGCTTGCCATGTTGTCTCACCCAGTCAGCAGTATTTTCTTGCAATACTCGCTTCTGGAAATAACTATCAGCTGTCAACCGATTCAGTCAGTTTTTCTTGCTGCAATCCTAATCACTGCACACACCCGCTTTTTGCTGTTATTTAGGCAAATCTACAGGTTCTTCTCAGAAGCACATACTTTCTGCTAGCATCCTGCAATGTGATACCACCATCTTTCACCCACTACTGTTCTACACAGATTATGATAACGTAGGGGTAGGAAAACAAGCTCATTTGCACATAGACTATAAGTAGACCTTAAGCATGTTCTGAACAGTAGAGTTTTGGCATTCTGAAGTAGACATAGACAATTCAGGCCAAAAATTCTTCTCCTTCAGAGAATCTTCATGCTTGGACACATTTCAGAAACATAGTGTGAAAACAAATAAGTGAGAGAAGACAGACTAAATTTCTCTTTTTTGTCCTCTCCAGAACTGGGGGGGTGGTTCACTCAGAAACTGGTGCTTCCCCTTCCCTGCTTGCACTTGTAGGACCCATACCAAACAGGGGAGGCAAGCAAACTTTCTGCTTTCACACCAGAAAAAGAAACCACCTACTTTATCACAAAACCTGGGTATAATACAAGACATACAACACCAGGAACACAGAACAACACAAACAGCCACAAAGACAGAGTATAAAACTGAAGCCAGGAAGCACCAAGCATATGCCTCTGTGAAGGAGCAGCTCCTGCCTGCCTCTAAACCCTCACCTCATCAGGCACAGCAGTGTTCTCCCTATGCCCCACAAAACTGTAGGCAGAGGCAGCTCACTGGCAGCAAGCTGCCAGCATGCATGGCTTCTGCAGGGCAGGCAGCACTGCCTCCCTGGGCCCTAATTAAGCCATCACACAGCTGTGGGCACTCATAGCAGACGAGGCTTAATGCTTGTAAAAAAAATTAATATAAACATTACAATTAAAATGTCAGATACTCATAAAAACAAAACAAAATAATAAGATAAAAATAATAAAAACATTTTTTCTTCCTTTAGACTGGACTGTATGGGCCCAGTGACCAGTTTGCAGAAGCAGGCAAGCACCCTAGCAACTCAAATCATTGTGCCAGAAGTACTGGCATATTTTGGAGAGCACTGCTAGTGACGTGCAGTAACAAATAGGCACAGTTCTGAAAAATGTGCTGGACTGCACCAGAAAAACAAACATTTTGTTCAGGCAAGTGCTGTTGAGATGACAATCTGTAATTTGATGCTGCATTTGCTATATACTTATTTATAAACACACAGAGACATACGCAGGTGAATGATGTAATCTTAAGAACTACACAGTCTTTGTACTGTTTCTGGCCAAAACAGGCAGTGAAGCAGTTAGGCACTAATTTGGCTTGTCCCACTTCAGTGAAACATTTGAAGGTGCTTGTGTGTATATGGGCTTTTCTGGACGAGTGCCTCCATGTATATTTACATGGAACCATTTCATTGTGGCCAGTGTTACCGGTAAAAACAGAGTATAACAGAGTATAACAGCTCTCGTGGAGCTGCCTGGTTGCTCTCCTCAAGAAACTGAGTGCTGGAATCATGGTGCTGTCTCAGCACTGTGGGAGAGACGTAGCCGTCTCCTACCTGGTGATTCCAATGGGAGACCTTGGGGAGAACTACAGTGGTGTCACACAGAACGTCTCAGCCACAAAAAAGGTCTAGGGGAGCAAGCATAGCCAAGCAAGATTTAAGAGAACAAGTTTCACCCCCCAAAAAAACAACAAAAAATCACTAGCAAACCAAAAAAAACCCAAACCAAAACAACCACTGCTACCAAAACAAACCAGGGTAGTCTGAACAGCTGAGCCAACACCCAGCACAGTGGAAAGGAGAGAAGAGGAATTCAAATTCACTTTGAAAACAGGGCAGAGGAAGATGGAGGACATTTAGAAATTGGAAGACATGACCCTGTCAGCTGAGGACACGTCAGTGTTTAATGGCCAAACAAACAAACAAACCAACAAATAAATAAAAATACAATACAATACAATACAATACAATACAATAAAAAGGAAGATTTTTTTGAACTATTACTAGTCCTGAAAGAGAGCTGCAGTGCAAGAAGCATCTCTGGCTGCATCAGGTGCGCACTCGCTTTTGCTTTGCTCCACTGACATCGCATACACAGAGACAGGGAGGACTTTTGTGCTTCTCTAAATGCATGTGTTTGGAATATGATTTGTGATAACTCATCTGCATCAAGTGAAAAGAACAAAAGTAATTGACGACAGGTATTCTAAGGTACCGTGGTTTTGTGTAGATCTGCAAAAATAGAGTCCTGACATCTATCTGCCTTGAATTATGGAATTTGCTTTTAATGATCGGTGAGATGTTAATGTTTTCAGTACAAGGAGTGACTTGGCTGAAATGGCTATTTGTAAGGTAAGTAGGTTCCCTGAGACACTTGAATTTGAGTTTCTTTTCTGTTTTCATAGCCCAATACTTCCTTTCCCTCTGGAAGCTACTTTAACTCTGTGGATTCTCTTCTCTACGGTTTTGCCTTTATCCAAAAGGAGAAGCAGGTAAGTTTGCCCCAGGTTTGGTGGCTCTGATTTCACACAGCGCTTGGGAAGCCGACGTGTCTCAAAAACCTCAAATTGAAAGGCAGACGAAGCCATGGGATTGCAACATGTCGAGGACCTTGAGCTACGAAGCATGCAATGGAAGGCAGAATCACAGTGGATGTGTAAAGAGGACTGGTGTGCGGCCATGTGGGAAGCCGAACGGTGATGGGTGACGCTGGCACAAGCTGCCACCGAACAGCACGGGGTGGCTGGGGTGGGAGGGCAGTGGTGCTGTCGGGTTGGGTCAGGGGTGGAAAAGGCCTCGAAGGGGCCCTGCAGGAGTGCTGGAAGAGCCCGGGGGTTGGAGGGGGGGACATTCCTGGTTTCCTGCTGGGCGGTCTCGGCTGGGCCCTGCTCAGCAGTCTGCTCACATCCGCTCACGCGGAGAATACCCAGCTTCCTTTGTCTAAAGTGTTGAGTGGTTATGAATAGTAAGGATAGACTATCTGTAATTATTTTTAAATAATTAATGGTTTTGTTAGATCCCTTCACTTTTACATTAGGTTTCTGTTAATGTAAGTTAAATCAAAATGTACTTCAGTTTCCAGGCAGCTCCCAAATGTATTTTTCATTCTTTCATAACATTACTTCAAGCACTCGATGAGGTGTCTGTGACCAAGTCGGCTCCCGAGCCGGCAGCCTCCCGTCCTCAGCATCTGGGAGAGAGCCCCGTCGGGCGGCCGTTCCTCGGGGGGCGATAAGGCAAAGCGGCGGATTCCCTCGTGGCTGCCGGGTGCCACCCCTCGGCGCGACGAGGACCTCGGCGGCCCCGGGGCTGCCCCTAAAGGCGAGGGGCGAGCTAACCCGGAGCCCCCCGCCCGTCCCGCCCCCTGCCCGTGCAGAGCTAGACGCGCTCGTTCAACACAAACGCCGCTAAAACTGCCGGGATAAATTATGCAGAGGGATTTCAGGATTTCTTTCAAGTAATTAAGTTTCGATTTCTTGCGTTTATTTCAGTGCCAGGAAGCACGGGCCGCCGCGGATGGCGAAAAGTCTCCATTGATCGTTCCGGGCTGGAAGTTTGATTTCGTGACCAGACCCGGAGCGGGGCGGGGAGGCCGCGGGGACCCCCGCCGGGTGTGAGGGCAGCGGGTAGGGAGGGGCGGCGGTGGCGGGGCCGGGGCTGTCCGCACGGCGGAGCCCCGCGGGGGCGGCCGGGCCGGGCGCTGCCCCGCACCGAGATGGGGCGCGCTGCGAGCGGAGCCCGCATCCGAACGAATGAAAAATTGATGGGGCGCATTAGATTCGGTAAAATATGAATGCGCGGCTTTAAATTTTAATCGTAAATCAGAACGCGGATACGTGAGAGGCGACAGGGATTTTTCTTCAGGTGTCCACGCGGGTCAGGCTGGGGGCGTGGGCTGGGGGAGGATCTCCCTTCCTTTAGAGCCCTCGGCTCCAGGGGCTGCCGGCCGGCTCCTGCTTCCACCCCCTGGCTCCGTCCTGCCTCTGGGCGGGGGGGGGGGGGGGGGGGCCGGGGGCCCCCGGGGGGGCCCCCCCCCAAAAAAAAGAAAAAAAAAAAAAAAAAAAAAAAAGGGATAAAAAGAAAAATCACAGTTGAAAGCCACAAAAACAATCGTTCCAAAAATGCGACCGCGGTGCCGCGGGCAGAGAGAGACCCGCGCTGAGCGGCGGGCGGGGACCGCGCGCTGTGACCGGGACGCGGGCGGGGAGGGGATGGAGCGGGGCGGTACCCCCACGGGGGCCGTGCGGGCTCTCCGCGCTGCGGTGGCAGGCAGGGGGGTGGGGGGCGCGGGGAGAGCCGCTCCGTGCGCCCCGAGCCCGTCCGACCCCGTCCCGACCGCGTGGGGCGGCGGCGGTGCGCGGCGGTTTGCGGAGAGCTGTCAGATGTGATTACTATCCAGATTAATTCATATTAACGATATGCATCCTCCGCGCTCCCATGTGACGGCATACATTAGAACAACTATTGCAAGTAATTAAACTCAATGCGGGAGGGGTTAAAGATACGTCGTGGGGAGATTTTATTGCGATGGAACTCCTCGTCAATGTTGAGCCGGAGCGCGAGACGCGCAGAGAGCCCTTTCCTCGAGGCCGCCTTCCCCCGGACCGCCCGGCGGAGCGAGGTACTTCTGCCTCTTTCTTTGCTTCTTCCCGGCGAGCGGGGGGTCCTCGCCGCGGGGCTCGGGGCACGGCGAGGGCCGGGCTGAGGCCGGGGCTCCTGCGCGGCTCTGCGCGGCTCTGCGCGGGCCCTGGGTGGCAGCGCCCGGAGCCCCGCGGAGCCCGAACGATTCTCGGTGGAGTTTTGTCGGGCGTCGGAACGGCTCGGCGGTTTGGGCTGATGAGCCGAGCAGAAAGGCTTCTGAAGATTAAGCAAATTGGACAACCCTCGTTAATTAGAACATAATTTAAAGTTTGAAATGATATCACTCACGAAGTCGCCTAATTAGCATGGCGGCGTGTTAATGGCCTGCTGAGACGCGGGGCTGCGGCGTGAGCTCCTCGAAGGCTCCCAAGAAAATCCTCTTTCCTGTGTTGTCATTAATAAAAGATTTCTATAGACTTCAGCCTTTCAACGGTGACACACAATTTATAGTACACACAATGCGTTAGCCCATAGTGCCGCTCGATTTTTTTACTATTATGAAAACTAATAAATTCGTCAAGCTGAATTAAGCATACAAATCAGATGAGGCATAACAGATTACATATTGAAGCGCGGTGTCTCCCGAGCCTAAATGAAATTTCAATCTAATAATTCCTTCCTGGCCCGGCCGTAATTTGTTTAGAGATGTTGTTCTACTTCTTTCCAAGCGCTATTCGCACCATAATTAAATGATACTCAAGCTTTTAACTTTGATTTATTTCATTTCTCCGAGCTGGCGACAGTGAGAGCTGATACAATGCAATTTTTTTCTATTTCCCTTAAAATTACCAACTCTGCTGTTTAGGTGAGAAATTAAACACCTAAGCACTTATGTTAACCTTCCCTCTGCAAAGTAAAATTCATGGAAGCAGACCCGGCCGCCTCGCGGACCTCCTCGCTCCTTTCCCTCCCTCTTTCCCTTTCCCTTTCGGACACGGAGTCCTGTGGGACCCCATTCGGCCCCTGGCCAGACCCGGCCGCCGCCCCGCGCCTACCCCTGAGCCCTCGTGAGCAGAGCCCGGCCGGGCGGCTCCGGGCCCGCGGACTCGTTTGGAGTCCGGACGGCACTT